AACACCCTGTATATATATATATACACATAGATATATTATAATTATTATATTTTAATTGCATAAAATTGTATTATTATATGTAGACAAATTATATTAATTTATCCATAAACACTATAATAAATTATAAAATCGAAACCTCATCAAAATTATTAATAGAAAGCAATTCTATGCATTTACTTAATGTAGGCTTTCTTGTGATATGATAATTTTTTATATATAAAAAATGTATTCTTTTTAAATAAGATTTATTTTTAAAAAAAGATTTAATTCTAAAAATGTACTATTGAGTAAGATCACATAAATGTTAAGTATAATTGAATCTAATCAAGGAGCCCAGACAGATTTAATATGACGAATCCTTTTCTGTATGGACGCGTCTGTATGGTCGATACATTCGAATCCGATCAACAAATCGAAGCGAGAAAGCACCAATGCTCACCAGCCTTTAAATGGTAAAGGCAGGGATAAATTGTTTTGGCTCCGCCTTGTAGTAAAATAAATGATCACAAAGATACCGCCTGCTCGTTAAAGTCAATTCTGCGGAGGTGGTCTCCAACCTCCGTTCATCTTTCTTTTTTAAGATAGTATTCGTTATATATTACTCAAGATGTATAATTTTCGGTAAAACCGAGGGCTAGGAAAGCATAGTGCGTTGACAGAATTAATTAGTGACTGAGGTATAAACATAATTCGTGTTGGCAGACAATAAAAATCTTCCCGGTTTACATTGAAAGAATTACACAAGATTTTTCATGAATAACATTTCGGACTACACAAATAAAAAACTAATGAAAAAAAAAAAATATTTTATTTTCTTTGTAATTTATACATCTTTCTTCGAAGATGAAATTCATCGATCAATGAAGATAAAAGATTGACTGAATTTTGTAAGTAAATATGTACTTAATACTATTCAAAAAAATATGTATTACGATATTTAGTAAATTTTTGTTCAATGTATGAATGAAAAAAAAAATATATATTCTTATGTGGGAGCGAGAGGGTTAATGGCAGCGATCGCCTTCTTCTTATTCGGCGGCATCCCCGGTGTCGATCATTAGACTCCTCGTACATTGAGGAAAGAGGAGGCTCAAGTAGGAGGCGAAGTAGGAGGAAGTGAAGTAGTAGGAGGACCTCCACCACCACCACCGACCGGCAAATCCTGCGGGACTGCTCCGACGGACACCTGTAAGCACGCAGACTCCCCGCCGAGCCGGACGTACGGTGCACGGTGAAAGTTTGCCGAAATCGCCGCAGATCCTGAAGGATCCTGAGACGTATTGTTTTCCGCCGATTTTAGCAAGAGTGGTGCCTCTTGTGTCTCTGCACGCGTGTTCAACGAGCAGTCTTTCTTCTTCTCGTTCGCTCATCTGTGAGTCATCGCGCAAAGAAGAAGACTTTTCTCTATTTCTTGAAACATCGTTCGTCTTAATCAAGTGACTCAAAACTGATCCAAATTCGTTATCCAACTATTTTTGAAAAATTGATCGAGTCGGTAATCAAATGCGAATGTTAAATATGTAGCGACGTCGATGTAGGATCGAAGATTTTGGAGTGAATATATATAAAGGACATAAAAAAAAATAAAAAGAGAATTTTTCCAAAATGCATTAACGACAGTTTTCGAAAACATCACTTCTTCTCCACGGGACAGGAAAGTATTACGACTTTTCAAGGCTACGTAAAACGATGGACGCGATGAAGAGATCTCGCATCTTAGCGAAGCGAATCGCACCGCATCAAGGGATGATCAGTGGTGTTTAAGAGAACGAATAGAAAATCACGGTATTCTCAGGACGGAGAGAGACGATGTCAAACTTTTAGAATGCGAAACGAAGAAAGATGTGGATAAAGAAGCGAAGCGGTGCTGAAGTCTGGCTACTGCTGCTCGTGTTGCTGATTCAAGATGGCAGATGTATAAAATGGCTGTAAGTACTCTAATTCACTTTTGCGAATATTATTTGACCAGTTCTTTTGAAGCCTTCTCCCGTTATGCTCTCTCACAATAAATCTTCGCGATAGGATCTACTATCGTGCTACGCGTCTCGACATTCACGAACTCCGAAATGTCAATCGGATTAGCGCGACTGAAATGAGGGAAACTTGTCTTATTATGTAAGAATAATCTCTAATCATTTTTTTTATGAAAAGAGCAATCGCACTGTCGCCATCAGATGTTCACTTTAAGCTCAGATTTTTTATCATGCCATTTTTATTTATCGCGCTTTAATCTCCTTCGTAGAGTAAGATTGAGATTTCAAATATTTAAGATTGTGCACCTATAAGATTTAAAAAATGCACATTAGATAAAAACATTTATAATTTCTTTTATTTGCACGGAAATATCAATTTTACTGAAGTATCTAAAACTTTAACTAAATATAGATCTGAAAATAATTTTGTTAGATTATCAAAATAATTAACACACTCAAATTATAGAATATCAAAATCTTTTGCAGTATTGTTCATCATACTTGAGTTTCCTACATAACTACTTTTATGATCTAACGAAATTATTTTTAAATTTATATATCTACCTAATTTTTTAGATACTTCAGCAAAATGGTTCCTTCCAAATAAAAAGAAATTAAGTCGAAAAAGTAAACGTTGAATGTGCGTAATTATAGTGGCGAGCCAAAAATATATAGCTGTTTGCGAGCAATCTTTAATCATTCGGTCAAAGTAGAGACATCCAAGAAGTCCTCCTGTGAACCCTCGTGATGAGTCCCATTTGCACTCTCACGTTCGCTCGCGGTGGCTTCGAATGAGTTCGAAGATTAATGTTGGTCCGTTAATGAGAAACAAATAGATTAGTGGCCAAACGCTCGAAGTGCGTGCGAGGTAGAGACGTAGCCTCTCGATTCTCTATCTCGATCATTATTTTCCTTGAATCGTAAGGAGATCGGGGGCGAGATTTAGGGGGCGATTCTCTGTCGACATAAATTTTGTACTCTCGAGGAATAAAGATATCGTTCGTGCTGCTTTATGGGCTGCATAAATAGACGACGATGGTTCACCGTCGTTATCCCTTGCCAATAAGTTTCGCAAATGAAAAGCGGATGATTACTACAGTGCCGGTTTTAGATACCTCGTCTCGCGGCCAATTTATTGCAGCTCTTCTTATTTTTCAGACCAGCCAGCCTTTTTAATTATTAGCAGCAGAAATATTTTTTATAATTTTTCTTTCTTAAAACAGAAATGACGTTTTTTTTTTAAAATAAATTTATCAGCGAGCTTTTTTCTAAATAATAAAAAATATCTAAATATTTTTTTCAATTGTTACTATGTCACTTCAGACCAAACTTTGATAGACTAATCTTTAAATTTAATTGTTGTTGATCGTGGAATGATTGCACACATATATAGACATAAAAAGAACGACTTTATCTAACTAGTAAACATTTTTAGATATAAATTTCAAAATAATTTTATTGGATCATCAAATTATGTAGGAAACTCAAACATGATAAACAATGCTGCAAAAAGTTTTGACATTTCAGCAATCAGTGAACATCTAAAACAATTCTTATACATAATTATTTTGATGCTCTTATCAGATTTATACTTAGCTAACTTTTTAAATATTCCAGCAAAACCGTTTTTTCCGTGCATACACACACAAAGATTAATAAAATAATAGCTATAAGACAAATAACATGTAAGAAGGCTCATTATGGATTATCTTGCTACAGACATCGTTATTTGTCTTTTCTTCATTTCTTCATTCCACTTAGGACTGTTCCGCAAGTTGTTTCTCATCACTCCGCAATTTCTATCAATCATCCCAGGAATCGTTCCTCTCATCTGGAGCTGCGCACGGAAGACTCGTTAACATTCGAGGCAGTGCGGCTGGTTAACTCTCTTCCTTGCGAAGAGTTCCACGCTCTCTAGATATGCGTTAAATTGTCGTGTGATTCGTAGGGGGTTTCATCGCATCGGCGAGAAGGAGGGCGCGAGGTGAGGATCACCCTGAAAAGGGGTGGGAAGTGGGAAAAACGGAAACAGAGAGAAGGTTGAGCGGCGTTGGATGATGAATGGCGAAGTGATGGTGGTTTTGCGTGCAAAACCAAAATACGGGGGAATACGGTGCTAAGGGGTGGAAGGGCAGTACGAAAGGAAGATGATCGGGGAGTGGCACGAGGATGCCGGGGGTGGAAGATTAGGGGTTGCCCACGGAATCGTGATTTATAAACGACGCTTTCTAAGAACTCGCCTCAGAAGCGAGGCCTCCTCGCGATTCTCTTGTTTATAATTATTGCGGCCGACGTTGACGGATAATTTCGAAGGGTGATCCAAATTCTCACCGCTTTTTCTTTGTGAGTTGAGTGGCCATCGATCTCGTTAGCTTAGGGAGCGTCCAACGAGTGTTGGACGATGATCTTTCTGTATTAAGGAGTGCCACCAGGACTTGATGCTTTCTCTGAAAATGGTAGAGCTTTAAACGAAGAGAAACGATGGGTATCTTGAAAATAGTGGCGCCGATAGTTTTTCAAGTTGAAAACTAAGGAAGTTTGGACAAGAGTCTTAGAAATATAGATAAAAATAGATACGGAGAGAATGATTTTGCTGAAGTATCTAAAAATTTAGTTGGAGACAGATCTGAAAATAATTTTGTTAGACAATTGAAATAATTATATAAGACGCTCAAGTATAATAAATAATGCTGCAAAAAATGTTGACATTCTATCAAAGCTTGAGCCCTACATAATTATTTTGATAGTCCAACAAAATTATTTTCACATCTGTAAACTTTTAGATACTTTAGCAAAATTATTTCAGATCTAGCTAAATTTTTAGATATTTTAGCCGAATAGATAAAAACGAAAAGTAAAATTTTTTACAAGGATTGCAGTTTTACATTTTATAGAGCATGCAGTATTCCTGATACAATTCTCTAATCTCGCGATTAAAAAAAAAGTAACAATCTGCACGTGCGTGTTATGGGTTCATTAATCATCATTTAAAAGATCGAAGATCATTGCTCATGGCTTCGAGACGAATAACATTCTTTCGCGGAGTGATCCGCGGCTCTTTCAGCGGGATCACGAGCGAGGATTTCTTCGCCAGGATCGAGGCCAAGGATCGATTTATAATAATTTACGCATAGCCCTCGACAAGCGCCCGCAGGGTCGCACTGAATCACACGCGAGTCGCTATTTATAAGATCATTCTTGACGAAGCGATCTCTACAATGCATCGCTCGTAAATCACGCATTCTTAACGCAAGACGCGAGTTGGAGCAGCGGTGGATTGTATCGGTGCGACGGTGAAACTCGCGCGTCCCACGCGACGAGATCTTAACCGCGAGTCTCGTTAATTTGTCATTTGAAACACCAACGTCAAAGAGATTACAAACAAATTGATGCTAATTGCGAAACAGGCCTCAATCAATGAAGTACGATACTGTGTAATTTATTAAAAGCAAAGTATTATAAAAAGCTTTGGAATACGATTGATTCATTGGGATAGAAAATCGAGATATGTCCAATTTTGAGAATTTACATGGAAAAAATGATTTTGCTGAAGTAAAAATTTTATTAGTTAGATACAGATATAATTATATAAGATTATATAAAACACGATACAAAAAGTTTTAACATTCTAGCAACCAGTTTGACCGTTCATAATTATTTTGATGGTTTAAAAATTATTTTCAGTTCTGTATCTAATTAAATTTTTAGATACTTTACAATAACTGTTCTACTCCTAAGCAGTGCCATATCATCGCCGATTACGAGCGATGAGAACCTAGGCCAGTTATCAATTCTTTTGCATTTTCTTTCCGTGAATTTTTTAATACTTTTTATTAACATCCTCATGCTTTCTTGAAGAATACAGTTCTAAATCATTAATAATAATTAATATGTACAAATATATATAGATCTGTTGTGTTCGAGTGTTCGTGGGTTCAGGGTGGCTGAGCTGATTTCACTTCTTTTCTCATCATTTCGAATGCGCGCCTGAGCAGCTTCTCTTTCAGCCTCCTGCAAACGGAGAGACTCGTAGACGCCCGCGCCTATTATCAGTCTCGTAAAAACTACGCTTTACGATTCCACCAGTCAAAACGAATTTCGAAAGTGCAGCCGGTCAATAAACCGTTTCAAAACGCGCGTCGCGACCTTTCCTTTTTCTCGATGAAGAAACCGCGCCATGCATTTTCATAAGAATGTCCCGTCATGAACGTCCGTGAACTTCCCACTGTTGCGGGAGCCACACAATTCTCATAGAAACACGTAAAATGAGACAGTTAACGATGTGGATATCAAATTGTAAATTGGTAAAAAAACGACATTATTTTCCTGGACGGTAGCGACTATCTGAAGACCGTGGAAGATCGGAATGGGAAATCGTCTCGTATCTTACTTGCTTTATGTTACAAGAGTACGATTTGTGTTTTACAGAGGAATTATTTCACAATGTATATGAACAATATACTCCGATCTAAAAAAAGTGTTTTTTCTTCACGTAACACAATCAAATTTTTGCAAAAGAGGATGAATACTCTGGCGAAAAAATTTTAACTAAGAAATTGTGTTTATATCTATAAAGAGTTGTGTTAATGCTTACACTATTTATATTCTATTGTATATCGTATCTTCATTGTATTTCGTAAATTATTAACTGCGTTGCAATGAACAATTATATCACGTACTGAGGCGCGCCGTAAATCACTTTGCTCGTTTCCACTGCCGTCGGATTTTACATTCCTATGAGATCTCGATAGTTCTTTGTAACGAGTTTCACTTCATTACTGCAAGATATTTATCTTAGGTAAATTATTCGTGCATATCGTCCGTTGTTATCACCTTATTTAATCAGCCAATCTAGAAGTGCGAAATTTTATAGGAGCCAATTAATTCTGCAATGAAAAATATACCTTGCCAATCAAATCCTTTATATTGACTCTTGTTAACATTCTCAACGTTAGTTAACGTATATACCTGGTGCAATCTTAAAAATTAATTGAAAGTAAACTGCACAATGTCGCTTCAGGCATTGCGATTGGCCTGACGTTCTACGCGCTGCCGCTGACAATTAATTATCTAACGCGCGATAGCAAATAATCACGCATTCGTCTTGAGAGAACGGCTCGTAAATTACTTCGCGCGCGAAGCTGCGGGCTAAGTAATGCATAACGCAGTTTAAAATCGCATCTAGCCACATAAGTGGCCTGTCATGCATTCTGCTAGACCTGGCCTGCCTGCTTGCAAATGGCTGCACGCACCGATTGCCCATTAAATACTGTACTTCGACTGTCTTTCCGGGTGCTAAACGATCTACCTTGTTAAGCCTCGATATTGCCCACAGAAATGGTAGCTCAAGGGTGTGCTAATCAAGGTTGAAGAGTCGATAGTTATCTTAAATATTGAACAAAGCATTAATTTATTTTCTTAACGTACTTCTCAAAATTTCTTTTGTCACGGCAAAATGTTGTAAGTGTCAAAATTGTAAAAATGCGTTTTATTGTGAATGGGTTATAAGTGTTGTGTTCTATCATATACTAATATTAGAGGGAAAGTACTGTTACAAGCGGAGGAAAATGAATAGTACAATGTCGTAAGTACAGTGCGCAATTAATATTTTTACTTGAACTAACATTTTGAAATTTGAACAACTTTAACATGATTTTTTTTGTAAATCAGAATTATTTAATTAAAAATTTTTGCAGAAACTGATTGATCATATCGTCTCATATATCGCTTAAAGCGAGTCTAAAATCATAATTGGGGTCTAACTCGACGAAAATCATAATTAGGATCTAACGTGAACGCCCAGTTACGCTTTCTAATTTTCGACAAGTGTACATGTTATCTCTTCACCTGTCATTTATTATTAGAATCTCAGTAGAATTATTACTTAACTTTTATAGTGAAAGCAAAATCTACTCTTGAAATGCACACACATTTATTAACTTGGAAAAGATAAATTCGACGCTGACTGATGAATAATTTGCCTTTCACTACGCACTTAATATTGACGGAAAAAAATAAAGTCAAGACCATCCACGTTGGTGGTCGAATTTGTCCGAGATTTAATTCCTATTTTGCATTCGAGCGATCAATTAAGATATCAAGCCGATAATCGACTCTCGCAATACGAAACACGGCACGCAACATTTATTATTTTGTCAGCGAATTATGCGTGAGTTCTTCGTTAGTCGATATCGGATCGCCGAAGTAATTATCGCGAAGTAGAGCCTTAATGAGCTGATAATTTGAATCGGATATTTATGGCTCATAAAGAACAAGCACCGTTTCGGAAATTCTTCTCTTTCTCGGGAGAACCTTTCTGTTTCTCCTTTTTGCGAATAAAGATTCGAGAGGCAAAGCTCAAGAACTTGCGAAGCTTTGCGCCCTTCATACATGCGGCTTTAATGAGCCGTGCGTGCGAAGAATGTGCTCGCATTACCCTCATAAAGAGATGTAATCTTTCACTGCCTTGTAAGATATATTCTTTTTTCTTTGTTTCTTTGTCGAGATATATTTTTACTTTGATGCAGTCAAAGCATCGCGAAGATATCTATTTATTTCAAGGGAACTTGTAAATTCAATATTATTTTCTTAAGTAGGTGGTCTAAAGATACGTATGGTCTAAAGATAGACCTATCAATAAGAACCCGGAAGATCCAACCACTGCAGTGCTGCGGGTCTTGTGCAAGGCATCGCGATTTCACAATGGGTCGTAAAGCAACGCGAGTGTACGCTCGCGAGCGTTTACGCGGAAATTAGATTCCCGGGGTCGGGTCGTAACGCAAGCTCCGAAATGTCATCGGGAGGGAATGAACGAGCTTGCTGCGACGGTAATAACGAATTAGAGAACCGCGGGCTTTTGATAGGGTAATTCCGAGGGTAGGCTCCGTGACACGGGGTTGGCGATCCGGCCATTCTCAGGGTTGTTACGTCTAGACACGGCGGGGCCGCGTGCACGGGTCATTTCGACTTTCAGGTGTCCGTAATTATTATCCCCAACGTGCGCTCTCTCGCGCGTTGCGAGCCGAGAGTTTTAGCTAGTATTCAACCCGCGGCACTTAAACGTGAGCCCTTTTCAGCCTCGCGCCCTATAATTTTCGAAATTCACCCCCTGATTTACGGCTCCGCACCGGGACTGTCTACCAAAAGAGGTGGATCGCTCACGGCTGTCGGCTCTTCGGTCTGATCGTCCGACAGAGTTGTACATACCGAGTGTTCCACCCCAAATTCCACGGTCGCATGTTGCGGAGTGTTGAAGGTGGGGAAAACGAGAGATCATTCGTTTTAAAAACTCCTTTACGAGACCGTTTGCCGTCGAATTTTCACAAACATACAAATTACAATCTTCGACTATTTGTGACAAATTACGAGAAGCAAATTTTATATTCATGTAGAATATATTTTTTTTATATAAATTTAAGCTTGGCTTTATCTCTATAAATTATATATATGTATAGTTTTAACTTTTTAATCCTAAATTTTCTAATAAAGTCCGTAAAGATTAAGATTGAAACTGGATTTGAATTTGACAAACCAAAGTAATTTCAGTTAAACTTGATATAGATTTTCTTTCTTCTGATTGATTAAATTCCAATCCAATCTCAATCTCTAGTCTGATACAGGCATAATGCATCAGATATGTTTAAATTTAATTTTTCCTTAGTAGCTTTCTTAAACCTTTTGACAACCAATAAACACGTTTCTTTCTGTGATGAAAAAGTCACGTATTTAGACAGAGAACATTATGTTTAGCGGCCTCGGTCGCACAGGCGACACGCATACGTGGACCAGAGAGGCGTGCACCAGTGCGAAGAGCGCGGGTCTGTTGGAGAGGAAACAGGCGAGGGCATGCAGGGCTGCGCCGGATGTGATGTCTGCCTTGGTACAAGCCGCTAAAGATACGTCAACGGTATGCCAGCAGGCCTTCAGACATCGCAGATGGAACTGTAGCAGCATTGAACGCGCGCCTGACTACACACCTGAATTGCTTACAGGTCTGTTAACATATTATCTGCCCGGCTTTTATACACTTTTTTGTACCGTGTATGCTAATTAAATTTTTATTATCATAAACTTATAATGATAAAATATGTAATTTGATTAAATAATATTATATCTTCACAAGTGTAGTATAGTGCATTTTTTACTCTGTATCGGTTACCTTATTTAGGTCAGTTAAAATCCTTAGAGAAATTTAAATGATTTATTTGTAGGTATTAAATTGGTTGGTAATTAATTACTTATTTTAAGTATTAAAAGTACTTTTTTTTAGTGCATTAATACTCTGAATAAGTAATTAATCTCTAACCAATTTAATACTTACAGTATTAAATTTTTCTAAAGGAGTTTTACTTTATTTTTTATGAATATAAAAAAAAATTTGATAGCACCGGTGATCATTATGGCAATCAATGTGTTAACTACATTCTTGACAAACTAGATTCTTAACAACTAAAGATGACATAAAACGTCCGTATAATTCCACGAGAGAGATCCAAGTATGATAATTGCAAAAATTGATTCCTTGTTTCGAAAGATATTAAAGATACGGTACGAAGGAAGTTGATAAGAAGAAAAACAAGATATTAAATCTCTCTCTTCTGAAGATTGGTAATTTTAGAATTAGCACTGATTAAAAATTAAGTATTTAAATAAGAAAATACGTTGCCTATCGACTTTGATCATAATAGATTTATAATCGCTGATTTTTGCACAACGGAGGGACGCGAAGTAGATGAAGGTTTCCGATGGAAAACGTATCGAATATCCTTTGAGGAATTCTGACGTAAATAGGAAGACCTGGCGGGCGCGTCTCAATTAGCGATCATTAATAAACCGTAGTTCCCCACGGTCTTCATCCTTCCTCTTCGCGACCGGGCCTCCGTTGGATTAATCGCTCGCGTTTCACGATGATTATATTGTAAATAAAAGTGCGCTCGAGAGATCGAGATATCCTCCGTTAATGAGAAAACTGAGAAGCGCCAATGAGAGATACATTATACGATCACGAACGTTATCGTTGTATTTTCCGCTCTCGAGAATACAATAATCAGCTTTTCCTCAATCATCTCGATTGACGAAGGAAGAAAGAATTGCATGGTCTTTATATCAAGAACGTCACGACAAAATCTGATTTGACATCGTTATAATATATTAAACATAATCCGTGCATAAATATTAAATTAAATTGGAATTAAAATTTGAAATTATTATGCTTATAATAATATAATTATTATAAGAAAGAATGGTTTTGCTGAAAAAATCTAAAACTTAGCTAGATATAGATTTAAAAATAATTTGTTGAACTATAAAATAATTATGTAAGACACTTAAACTGATTGCTAGAATGTCAAAATTATTTACAAAAAAATGAATCACGCTTGAGTTTCGTACATAATTATTCTGATGAACCAATAAAATTATTTTTAGATTTGTATCTAGCTAAATTTTAAAATATTTTAGCAAAAAACTTTCATATGTACTCTTTACAATCTTTAGAATGGAATCTAATTCTAAAATTTCACTCTTAAAAATTGATTCTTTTTCAACACTGGCTTAATCGTCACTCTTTGTCATTCTTTAGAATTAGATTCCACTCCAAAGATTTTAGAGAATACGTTTCTCTTTTCACATTCCAATGAACACATTTATCGTAGGAACAAGAGAACAAGCCTTCGTTTATGCGATATCGGCCGCCGCTGCGGTTTGGAGGCTCGCGCGAGGATGCGCTTTGGGGAGCTTGGCGGCCTGTTCTTGCGCGACTCCACCGAGAAGAGAGCCACCCTCGCCATCCGCGCTTATCTCGTCCTCATCCTTCACCACCATGTCCGTCTCTTTCGACACGCTGTCTGTAAGGAACTCCTTTAAGTGGGGCGGCTGCGGGGACGACGTGAGATCCGCTTCGAGGATGGCCAAGCGGTTTCTTCAGGGTGCAACGCCGCCTGGTACCGGAGGGACCGCGAAGTTTATGCACGCGGTCAATATGCACAACAATAGGGCGGGTCGGAGGGTGAGTGTTTGCGATACCGCAAGTATTGATAAGTAAAAAGAGCATTAGACATATAGGTGATCTAAATTATTAAATTGTTTCTAAAACTATCAAAAAAAGTGTGATAAAAAAATACTTTAAATTGAGATTTTGTCTAAAAGAATGAAAGTAGCAAAGAATTTTATTGACATTCTTGATGAAATAATTTTTCATTGTTTGTGAAGCTCTATCAATAAACTGTGAGGCATGCTTCAAATCGAGATTTTGTCTAAGTAAATGACGAATGAAATCAGCCAAGGATTCTATTGGTGTTTTTGATTTTCGCAAAGAATGCGATATAATCGCGATTAACGCTTCGTCCGATAGGCGGTCGAGCAATCCTTGACTTTGGAGTGCAAGTGCCACGGGGTGTCGGGTTCCTGCAGCGTGCGTACCTGCTGGCGCGGTCTAGGTGCATCGGGACCATCCGCCGCCGGAAGCCGTTTGCTACGCAGATACGCCACTGCGGCAGAGGTCAGGCCGAGATCTGGCGGCAGATTGCCGCCTCTGTATCACCACGATAATCTGCTCTATACCACCAAGAGTCCCGATTACTGCTTACCCGATAAGAAGAGAGGCAGCCTCGGCACGATAGGCAGGTCAGATACGTTCACCTTTCATGCAATGTGTAAAATTTATATTTTACTATTTAGTATCCGGTCTCTTCCGTTTTTATAAAGATAATTATAAGAGATAAAGAGTTCATAATATCAGAAGTCTTAGGCTGCTATTCATAATCGGTTCTTTTATTTAAGACCGTCTTAAGTACAGTTTTAAAATGTCATAAGCCAATCACAGAACACACCGTGGCATCTTAAGACATTATTTAAGATAGTTTTAAAATAAGAGCAGCCTACGAATATAGACCTTTAGATATCTCTATGGAGATTTAAATAAAAAAATGAATACAATGTATGAAATACAATTTCAAAGATGACTATAAGGTAAATCTTACATTCAGAAAACACAAACTCTTTTTAAATATATTCAACTTTATTAAAGTACACAAAAAGAATGACTTTGCTGAAGTATCTAAAAATTTAGGTAGATACAGATCTGAAAATAATTTTGTTAGATCAAAATAATATTGTAGAAAACATGAAGTGCAAAAGTTTTGACATTCTAGCAATTATCTTCAGCGTCTTACATAATTATTTTGACAATCCAACAAAGTTATTTTTGAATCTGTATCTAGCTAAATTTTTAGATACAGCAAAATCGTTCTTTCCATATAGAAAATAAAAAAAATAATGGGGACGTTACTCTCTTTAAAACGAATATGTTTTCAGGATAAAACTCGTTGGTGCTCGTAAGTCGGTTTAACGTTCACCCATTAAAAACTCTTAGTTTACGAGCTCGTGCGATGTATAAGTATATAATATAAATTTTAGTTTTTGATATGGTCGCGATGTCGAGCGAATAAGTGTCGCGTAAAGAGGCTCGAATTGCATTTTAACGTGACTGGTAATGCACGAAGAGGGATTTATCAACATCTATTGCGTGAAAAGATCTTTCTTCGTGCGACTCCCGTTCATTAACGAACGAGCGAAGAACGTGACGAATTTACTGCGAACGATGTCGATTATCGCGTTAACTGCATCGTTAAAAGAACTGGATGTATGCGACGAATGTGCAATGTTCTTTCTTGTAAAAAAACTGGAATCGTTTTTCCTTCAAATATCTAGACCCAAATAGCCTTTTGAGTTAACGAATAAATGAAAAGGAGAGAGTAGAAGTTTAGCTGTCATGTAATGGCGCGAAGATTTCTCTCTTGGCTCCTTTCGTTCCTCAGCAAGAAAAAAAAATTGAGAACAACTTGGCAGGCAGAAAAGCAGTATGGTGGCTTCATATGAAGGGACGTAAAGGGGAAGACAGGATGTAAGGATCAGCCGACTACTTTTTTCGGTAGCCGCGGGCTAAAGAACCTTCTTCTTTTTCCCAACGCAGTAGTCATACATCCTCGTGATAGGTCGTTAACTTCTCTTGTAATACGTAAATTATTTATTTTCTCGCGATTTATCTGTATTGAAGGTAGCAGAAAAAAATAAGTCTAGTCGCAGTCTTCGAAAATTGTTTTTTCACTGATTTTACTGAAAGATCTAACTCATACAGCATAGAAGCTTGCAGCAACATTGATGAAACATTTGCAATGTTACTGCAATATTACTGGAATTATTTGTGTTATATAGGAAATTTTGCTGAATGCAGATCTGAAAATTGTAATTTTGTTAAACCATAAAAAAATTACTGAAAACTCAAAAATAATGAGCCATATGCAAAACATTTTGATGTTCTTCGAACCAGTTTGAGTTTCAAACAAAATTATTTTGATGGTTCAGTAAAATTATTTTCAAATTTGTATTCAGTAAAATTTTAGATTTTATAGCATAATCGTTCTTTCCGTGAATTGATTTCGGCTGAGTCACTAGAAGCAAATTTCAAGGATCGATGTATCCCCTTCTATGATTTTTCTTACAGAATTAGCGTGTAATTTTGTTTCGCGTATATGCGTTTGCTAATAGTGAGCTCATGCGATTTTATCGCACGCACTGTCCTAGTTTGGTCATAGACAGGCACGTAAAAGTGCGAAAAACCATTAGCACCGCCATAAGCGCAGCTTTTATGAGACACTCAGGTCATCGCTGATTGCGACTTCCCTTTAAGTCCGCTTATACTTATCTCACAGTCGTAATCGAAATATTCCGTCGATCGTTATTTCAAGACAGTATCGGTAAAGATCTTTCCCATATATTATTTTACAACTTGCACTTTTTGCAAAAGTCGTTAGCAATTTTCCATAGTCGCTAACGATCTACGAAAAAATAGCTCGAATAGTTACGACAGTCAATTTTGCTTCAGCAACGCAAACTTGTTTTTTCTTTTGTTAACGCTTTTTGTGTGTTTTTCATGAACGTAAAATATGAGTCATATAAAATTTATTTGTCTACAAAAATTACTTTGATTAAAAAACGATTTTATATAATAACGATTACATATCAATATTAATTCTTAATTCATTAATCTTTTCCAATGCTAGTTTGACCGTTGCTCAAAAGAAAAACAGCGAAAAGATAGGAAACTATGTTTCCGTAAAACGTAGATAAACCAATCACCGAGCCATATTAACATCTTAAGTCATTATTTAAGATGGTCTTGAAATAAGAATGGACTACTATATTTGTTCGAATAGTACTAGATGAATTATATTAAATGTAAGTTTATTAAAGATAATCGCATATATTTATTTGGCACAAGAACCATTAATTTAACTACCATATTTTTATTTAGTAAATATTTGTTTACTGTAAGTAAATGATAAGTTAGTATTGTTCAAACAAATATTTATTACAATGTAATACATTTTTGCTCAGTGTAGTTCCATTCTTATTTCAAGACCATCTTAAATAATGACTTAAGATGTTAATATGGCTCGGTGATTGGTTTATGATATCTTAAGCCCATATTTAAGATGGTCTTAAATATAAGAATCGAGTACGAATACCGGCCGTAGTATCAGCCGGAGGCGTTTGGCTGTATCGGGTGCTAATAAAATTTCCTTATCCTGTTCCTCTCTTTTCGTTTCTAGGGGACGTAATGCCTAGCCACACGCGACGAATTTCTTTCCGATTCTTTCGATCTCGGTTAATCACGTCGTAGCAGATAGCCAGGCTTATTTATGTGAGCGTGCCAGTAATTACGTGTGTGAGACGAGAACGAGAGAGGAGAAGATAGGACTCTCGGAGATAGGGTGCGTCTCGCCATCCGGACGACGCTCGGTCGTCTCGAACCTGTTTTCGAAATCGAATGAACACGCGTGTTTTACGATGCCTTGTTCGACAGACTGTTCGCCGCGCGAATACCGTTACCGCAGGACCCATTCACGATCTTATTGCTGTTTTTTTTCTGCCGCCACTACCGTCTGAGAGTGTTAACGTTAATTTTTGCTACATGCCGTTTCGCGAGTTAGCGCTACCGTTCGAAGAGCTCTTTTGGTAAAAATGCTTTACGACCTCCCGAGGAGTTATTGTGTCGCGAGATTTTTTATGGATATGGAATGAAAATAATTTTATTGGACTATCAAAAATAATTATGTAAGATGCTCAAGCATGATGAACAATGTGTGCAAAAATTTTTGACAGTAACCGTCTTGAACGTCCTACATAATTATTTTGATGGTCCAACAAAATTATTTTCAAATCTGTATTTAGCTCAATTTTCAGATACTTTAGCGAAAAACTGTTCTTTCCGTGTAATACACGTGTCATTTGTAGATCATAAATTATTTCGAAATGAAATCATTGTATATCGGTTCCTACTCCTCGTTTAGGTCGTACTATACAGAATATATGGTATATTAACTAATTTATCGTGAACGTACCAAAGAAAGGCGCGAACCGTATCCGCTTCGGAAAGAAGAGCGGCATTTGTAACACTGTGATTGCATTCGTCACGGATTTTCCGGCGGCAGAAAGGAGACGGCTCTCCATCGCCCTCAAATTATCCACGCTTCGCTCTGCCTGAGTTAAGATCACCCACGGCATTCCGGAGATGATAACCAGGATCATAAGATGCAGGAAGTGATGGACGCACATGGCGGTTCCGGTGAATCTTTTATCTCGGTCTATAAATCGCGTCTCATTGTTCGCGTTTCGTGTATCTTCGTGTTGCAAGAAATGGCGCGAAACAGGATGCTCGCACAGATTACGTATTGGATGTAAGATATAAATAAAACAATATCCTTGCGTGCCGACTACAATGACCCATATTCTTTTGTTGTAGATTTAATGTTACATTTAGCCATTAAATCCAATTGTAATTTACGCTATAAGAATGAAAAATGTCACTTTTTTATGAAATTTAAAATAACTGGGTCTAAAATTTTCTAAAAGATGGTTAAAACATTTTTAAATAAATAGAAATATTTCTAATTGAAAAAAGTATTTAAATTTTTAAATACTTCAGCAAAACTGTTCTCTCCATAGAACTGTTGATCTCATTGTGATTACATCTCATTTAAAATTTGATCACAGATTTAGCTACCTAAAGTAAAATAGCTTTTAGATATTATAAAAATTGAGAATGTATAATCCTTTATCCTGAACACGGGAACGATCTTTCACGAGTAATTGACGATCATTGGTTCATTAACGAACAAACCAACTCTTTTATTCTTTCGATTAATTAATATATCTAGGCCTATCTAGCCCGGTTTCTTTCGACGCGAACGCGATTTCGCGCGTAGCTATCAATTCTGTGGCGTGATTTATCAGGCGACGCACGACGTGCTTTTCTCGTTTTCTTCCTGACGACGCGCGAACAGGATCCGATAATTTCGTGAGAGACGATTATCGTGGGCTCTAATCCGACGTTTGTTTCGGACACGCCGATATTTCATTCGCCGTGCGCTGATATATGGCGTCAGGTTCTTTGGATCGCCACCGACTCGTCTCGCCGGTTTACAACCCAGTAATTATCAGCCCGCGTATAATTATACAAAGTGGGCGTGGCGAATGTTTATCACGCCGTGTTCGACCAGTGTTCCGTGTAATGTTTATCACGACGTAACGCTTCTCGAGAAAGATCCTTTTCTTTTTCTTAACACCGCGTAATCTACACGGTAGTCTCGATCGCCCGCAAAAGCGGGCATCTTTAATATCTTTACGACATCAGAGGCGGGCGTCATGCAAATCGATTAATAATGGAGTCCGAGGAGCTTTAACGAAGTAACCGGAGAAGAAGTTTCGACGAGGCCATTGAGATAATACAGTCGACCGTTACGGATCGTGAAGATGAATAATACTCTTACGAGTACACTAATTACACGAGGTTCCTCCCCGAAAGAAACGAGAAAGATATCGCTGTCTAATTATGGCGAACACGAAATCTAATCCGTTTGTAATATCCGGTATAATCGCAACCAGATAAAAACGATAGTATCAACAATAAAATGATTTGTTATCCTGCTGTTAGGAAAGTATATTGTATACGTAAAAATTAATTTAAATAATATTTCATCTTTGATGATATAAATCTTTTCAAATCTTTTTTTCCTTTCTGCGATACACGTCACGCTAATCTTTATTAATACTTGACTATTTATATTTTATATTATGCGACTGATTCATTGCGCTGAAAATCTGTAGTTTATAATTATAAGTGGACATCATTAAATCGACAAGAATAAAATAAATCAAATAAAAAAAGCATTTCATTTTTGGTCGAAACAGATCTATGGTGCTTACTAATGTTCATATGTAGATTTACTAATTTGTAAGTCTACACTGTAAAAAGTGTGTTACTTTAACACATTTTATTGTAGTCACTTGTTACACATCTGTAGGGGTGTGTGGATACGCAGGAAACGTGTAACACACTTTTCATGTGTATACACGAAAAGTGTGTTATATCCTTGCAAATCTACACACCTACAGACGTGTAAAAAATGATTACAATAAAATGTGTTAAAGTAACACACTTGTTCTTACAGTGTATATACAAATATATTTGTAAATTTATAGATTTGCAGTTATAAGTAGATATTAGATAGAAAAGAATACATCAAGTAAGAAATGTTTGTAAGTCTACATTGTATGATTCTTTAATATGATTGGTTGTACATTTAGATCCAGCAAGGAACTATAAAGGCAAGACCCAATGCAAAGCTGCTTTTTCTGCTGAATGCAGTTTTGATTTTTAGCACTGGCAGTGAATTTTGAAAGCCAAAAAGAGTATCATTAATATATTTAGTATAATGTTCTTTAGCCACGATTACTAGATGGAAAAAAATTCTTTTGCAGACAATGCAACGGCAGCAGTTCCGGCTATGAGGGCTGCGAGTATCTTTGCTGCGGCCGCGGCCACGTGACCAGGACTGAGCAGATCTACGAAAGATGCGACTGCAAGTACATCAGCTGCTGCTACGTCAAGTGCAAAACATGCAGCCGGATCGTGAAGACGTATGAGTGCAATTAAGAATAACGCGAATTGTCCGGGATAATTGGCGACGGAGATGTGTAATCCGCTTGACGAAGAAGAAGAAATAAATTCGCGTGCGTGAGCGCGTTGCGAATTAAGCGTAAAATTAATTAATTAATTTTGCGAGATGCGTTCGCGTGAAAGTCCCGATCCGGGATGATAATTATTTAGGTGATAAATTATTTACCGTGAATGTCTACGACTCTCTCTCTCTCTCTCTCTCTCTCTTTCGCGTGGCGGTAATGTAGTAGAAGAGTTATTTATATCGTACTACTTGATATTTATTCGATGTGTGTGCGTGTATTGCGGCAGATGATTGCGAATAAACGCGTTTATTCTTGCCGACAGATTCGCGGAGTTAAATGTAAATCGGCGTCGTCGACGTCGATGTGTTATCGTCGTCGCAACCTCGAGAACGTAGATCAGAGCAGTGTACATAGAATGCTCGATATTTCGATGTAACCTACATTTACATTCTGCAAATACACGTTGCTTGGAAATGGCGGCCGACTTTATCCTTTTTCCTGATTCTCGCAATAGGTATCTATATGTATATGTATATACAATTTGACATACGTTCGTGTCGAATGTATGTACGGCAAGATTCAATTTGTCAAACTGGAAAACTTGCGCTTGATTATGAATAATTCAGCAGCCGAGAGGCAAAGCGTCGCGAATTCGTTTCGATGGAAACGGCGGTCAAATAATATATGCCTTGAGAGAAAAAAATGTTCTTTCCTGCTATAAACGAAAGATTTATGCTCTTACTCCAATTTATAGTTAATTAATATACCTAATACATTTAATGTAGAACTATTTTATGAGTAGTACCGATAAGTATCGTTTCTTATGAAATAATGAAATTATACTGCCAATTTATAAAACGCAATGATTCTTTACGAGGATCACATAAATGTATAAGTGTCAAATTATACGGATCATTTCATATGTTTATTAAAACTAAATATTTATCTGTTAATTCGTGGAAACTCAAGTAATAATGAGATGTTCGTTTGCGACCTGATTGCTGCAGTGCGACAGACCCTTAGAGAAATTTATTAATACTGTAAATATTTAATTGATTAATGATTAATTGTATATTTTTTAACAAATTATATATTTCGATTAAAAGTATATTACTAACAATAATAGAACTTTTAATATTCAAAATAATTTATCATTAATTATATGTATAATTCAATCTTTGATCGGCTTAAGATCTTTAAAGTTATCATAGATATATATTTGGATTGTAAATTCTAGCAGATAAATTTAAATGTAAAAAGTAAAAAGTGAAATACAATTCGACTTCTATAATGATGGTAAAGATCGTCCTAGTAGCAAAATTTATTGGCGTAATATTGTCTAATATATTCCCATGTTAATATTTAATGTCTCGCCATCAATGAATTGTGCTACTTGGCTATTATTAAATCTTTGACAAATATACTAAAATCTTTTCAGATTTAAATATATATAAATAAAACTTATACATTATATATATGTGTAATCTGAAATAAACAAAATTGTTGTTTTTTGAAAACACTTTTTGCTTACAAAAGAATTAAAATTCCATGTTATCGGCGAAGGATTATATACTTACAGTATTAAATTTTTCTAAATGGGAAATGTTGCATTGTAATAAATAAAACAATGTTTCAATGTGTAGACATCAATAAGTACAATCTGCGTAAATACTACAAATGTTACCTGTTTCCGGCTACGTCTTCCTTTCCTTGTGATATATATTGCGCACGTTGATCCAATAGGCCAAACTTTCTTGCTTTTCTCTTCAGGAGGAAAGAAGAGGAAGAAAGATGAACTGGTGCAAAAATTCAGCCAAAAAGAACAGGCCTAATCTGTTGGGTAACCGATTTGCGTAATGTTGGGTGCCTTCCAACAAGCAACACAGTGCGACACAGTGATCATGTCATCTTTGTTTAACATTGGCAAACAATAAGGATGTAATGATCCATTGTGTCACACCGTGTCATTTGTGTCGCTTGTTGGAAGGCACACAATAATTAGATATACAATTAGGCACACAATACTCACGATTGATCGCAATTCCGAAATTCGAAATGGCGAATGGCGGTAGAAGCAGATTTCAGAAAATAGTGTTCAGAAACTCATCAAAAACGTCATCTGTTTTGTCCAATAGAAAAACTTTCTGGGGATTTTTCAGGGAACGAATCCTATTGGATATTGAACATCCGAGGGTTCGTTTTGATCCTGGCCGTAGATATCGTAATGTAGGATTCACACTGCGTACAGCATCCGACGTACGACGATATCAATAGGAGAATTCGGTTCTAGTTAGCGACATTTTTATCTGCATATACTTTGTAAGTTATATATTGCGATGTGTCCGTCGTATGTACGTCATCGAACGAAAAAATTAAATCTTGAATATATTTTCATACAAGTATCATCGTACGACAAAATATTGTTAGCTGTAATATCTAGAAAACAAGCTCTCCTGTTGGATATCGGACGTCGCACGCAATGTGAATCCTACATAATGCTGGATTCACACTGCACCGATTTTCGTCGTACGACGAAAATCGGATGCAGTGTGAATCCAGCATAAAGCCTGCGGCACACGATGCTTGTTTTCCTGCTGGATTCCTAGCTGGATTAGAATCTTGCCACCGTATTAGCTGCGGTACTGTCAGTGTCAGCATCGTAGCCGATACGGAAGCAAGAATTTATCCTAGCTAGCAATCCAGCAAGAAAACAAGCATCGTGTACCGCCAGTTTAAGGTTCGTTCACATCTTGACGGAAAAACAGAAAGCGGAAAAGCAGTGGCCAATCACAACTCGCGCTGGTAGCAAGTAGTACAAAAAGCCGAAATTGTCGATTATCATCGCGAGTTCTGATTGGCTGCTGCTTTTGCGCTCTCTGCTTTTCCGTCAAGGTGTGAACGCGCCCTTAGGCCGGAATCAGACTACCCATTGAAAATTGAGATTAGTGATTAAAGATTGAAATTTGACCAATGAGGACAAAGGAATTTTAGTTCCTATTGTTTTGATTGGTCAAATTTCAATCTTTCAATCTTCAATCTCAATCTTTAATGCCTAGTCTGATTCCGGCCTTAAGGTCTGTTCGCGTGCCGAGTGCGCGAAGTGCAGTTTGAACGAGCAGACGCGATCGCGCAATTTCGAAATTTTGAAATCGCGATCAGTTGCCGAGAGACGCGTCGTGTCGGTTGCGCGGGTTTAGAATCGCTTCGCGTTTTTCGCGGTCAAGGGACGGCTTTCACCTTGACGGATCGTCGAAAAGTGTGTTCTGCGGTACACATCGTGACGCAGACGTTACCGACCACGAGGTTGACGATCCGTCGTTGCTCTGAGCTTCCATGATCCGAGTTCCTCGAAGTTCCGAACCTCCCGTTCCGAAAATCATTTCGCACCACGTCATACAGCCTGTTTGGTCCACATCGTTCTCTTGCCGAGAAACTTCATCGAGATTGTGACAGATATCCTCATGACCAGGTACGTGTATAACGCACTTAGTTATTAGTTGCAGTGCGCAGTTGTACGTTTTTTACAATTACATTGAAATATATAAACTTTAGAAATGGCGACAGCCGCCATTTCGAAATTTTGCGGCACTCCACTAATTTACGAGCGCAGAAATTTTTATTGCGTCTTTATATCGTCTGATATCGATAGCAAAATTGAATTATGAATACTAGTAGAAATACTAATAATATAGGAATACATATGCATTATAAAAGAGATTGCTGTATTGTTACTGTTGTCGGGATTGGAAAATATTTTCGCGCAACAATTTTGATCGCGAGAATGCTCAGTGTGTCAACGCGAGTTTCGTTTCCGCATTGTTGTTATTCTCTATCACGTTCTCTTCCGTCTTTATGTCTAAATCCTTAATAAACTCGCACCAATTTATCCCTCCACCGCAGTCCGGCTCTCTCTCCGATGCCCACCAAAGTGCCGTCTGCAAATAACGAATAATTATGCCTCAGCAAATCTCTATTTCCCTCTCTCTTATATTTAAATCTTTTTTTCTTTTTTTCCTAAGTTTTTCCATTAAAAAATAAAGTAAAACTTAACTAGCAATCAAATACAATCTTCAAAAATATTTCAAAATTTAATAAAATATCAGAGAACAAGATTATTTTCAATATAAATACATATTAAAATATATAATAAAAATATAATATATCGTAAACAATAAAGTAAAATAATACATGGAAAAAATAATGAATTAACAATATGAGTCTAATTGAAAATAATTCTGTTGATTTATTATTAATAAAACGAATACATCATATTCTGGTTTTAATAAAATATTATTTGTTTTATTAAAATACTGTTATTAAATTAATAATATTATTATCTCAATTAGACTAATGCTACTAATGCAACATTGTTTCTTTTTCCACGTAGAAACATAACAATGAATCAACATACTTTCACGTTCACTGGTGCAATAGGTGGCAGGGGATCGATTTTCACGTTCATAAACCGCAACAGGTCGTTGTAGTCAATTGTACCGTCTTCAGCTTTGCGCAAGCTTACAGGAATCATAATGAGTTAAAATCGATATCAAGTGAAATGCCTTTGATCGATTAAGTCGTAAATTTTGTCCGAACTTACTGATCCAGCATGGAGTTCAACAATTCCACGTCGACGGGAATCCTGCAACCGCGCAGAATCGTGTACAGAGATTCCCGAGGTAGAAATCCAGTTCTATTTTCGTCCCAATGATGTAGATCCTCCTCCAAGCGATCAAGATCGTGCCACAGAAATCGGTGTAATTCCATGTGTAGCAGACATCTAATAATAAGAATCAATTCCCTTTATCAATTATTGTTACATTAACTGTTGATTATTAACTTTCTCAATCGTGCTTCTTCCTAATTTTTAATTATTTATATAGAAGTTAATGTTCTAACAATGCAAAATATATAAGGATTATCAATGGAAATAAAAAATTTAATTATAAGAATTTCGCGTTTTATTATCTACTGTTTACAATTCAGAGAAATAACAAGTCTTATATTTTCTAAAGTTTTAGCTCAAAGAAATTTTATAGAAAACATAAGTCAAGACTTATCATTTCTCTGAATAATAGGCAGTAGATAATAAAACGTGAAGGATTTATATAAGGGATTCTCATAATTAAATTATTAATATGCATAAATATTCTTACATCTTTTCCACTGATCTA